TATGGTGGCAGTGTTAACATTGTTTGGCCAACACATAAGCCGGCGATTGTACCTACAAGATAGTGCAGGAAGCGGTAAATTCTGCACCGGATTACTCGCACACGGGAAAGCTGTTCATAATAGGGATCAAGACGGGTTTATAAGGAGACAGTTCGGGTTCCATTGGAGAAGAAGAATGTGTTGTTGATGGGGATGGCATGGACAAAACAGTCATTACAGGGTCGCTGAATAAGGACCTGCAAGGGGTGTCCACCTACAATTCTGCCACCGCTGGTGAACTGAATGAAACTACTGAATATATGATGGTTGCAATGACTAACTATCGAGACCACAGCAAGCCCTGATGCTCATCAAGCAGTAGTCTTCCGATTAGATAGCAGTATTTCTATAATAGAAAATTGAGAGTTTCTTGGCAATCGAGACATGATCTATGTCCACAACCTATGACAGTATTACAAATCATGCCGCGTCCAAGGCAACGTGGATTTCATATTTGGAAATTCAACTTCATTTTTTCAGGACTGTCTCAACTTTGTTGCTCCTCAAGTCAACAAGTCGGTCCTGAAAAGGGCGAGACCAATGCCGTGACAGCTCAAGGAAGAATCAACTGCCCAATCTATCGGATTTTTCTTTCAGAATTGCACAATTAACAGCACTGATGCATACAATGTTCAGTATAATAGAAAGCCTAGTGACATAAAAAGTACCTGGGAAGGCCATGGAAGGAGTACTCAAGAACAGTTTTAATTAATTGTTATTTCACGTCAAAACGAGTCAGGTGGAGTAGCAAGGTTTCATCCGAGCACGTAAACTCGTTCACGGTTCAGAATTTCATCCAAGGTGATCAGTGGATTTCTAAATCTTATTGACTGAAGTACACAGATAATGTTGTAATTTCTGCTTAGTTTATCACTTTGTAAAAGTTAAATTATGTGAGAGAGAAGTTTAAGATCCATTCAAACCGTAATTAATAGTTTTAGGTGGTGTCTTCCCAAGTGAATCTACATTGCAGAAAGTAAAGTCTCTGTGAACCTTTAAACAACTTCTTAACACGCTCACGGCTCACGGTGTTGAGAGTGACTAAGTATCAAGAAAAAATGAATGAAAAACAGTCACATATTAACAACACAAACGCCTTTTTATTCATTAGCATAAATCATACAATAGAACAAACATTTGACCATTATGAATGGTAGCAATTTATGCTACGATGGACCACTCCAAGTCACCCAGGGCTGAAAGGCATTTCTCTTCTTGCTTTTACAAGTAATCTTAATAACAATCAAGTACGATAATCTCTCAACTACTACATGAAGCAGTAGTCAAGGATAAATTATAAATTTATGGATATTACAAGTGGCGTGTCACCTTTATCGACAACGAATGTCTTCGTCACTTTTTTTGAAGGAATAACAACTTCAACTTCATACAATCCATGAAATCCTCTAAACTCAAATTGACCTTGTTCGTCTCTATGGCCTTGAGCATGAGACAACCACTCCTGCTTAAGAGCAAGGTATCTATTACCCGCTTCATTAATATCCCCTTCAGCATTCACTAAATGCGCATTATCTCGACTCATTGACAGCTCCCAGAATCCCCATAACATTACACCATCTACTGCAGGGTGAGCAAAAGCTTCCCGAAGCATGACTTCCAAATCATCAGCTCTAACATACTCATTGTCGGAAGACACATCAAGTTCTGTGAACCATATTGGAAGTCCAGGAATCTTATCCCTTAACTTGTCAAGTGCAGAACAGCCAATTGGTCCAACTGGACTGTTCCTATGCCCCTGTATGCCTATTCCTCCGACAGGTGCTCCCTGT